CATTAGGCAGATGTCAAAGAGTTGTGGGTTTGTCACTCTGTCTCCACCACTGTATAACTAAGGTTTTAATTCTTGTCAAAAGTTAAAGCAATGAGAAATGAGCAATGGGTCAATACTCAACAGTAAATGAAGTAATGGCATTGATTCCATATCGTCTGAAAAAATGTAGAATAAGTTACGACTTACTAAAATTAACTTACAATTCACTGTAGCTAATTTATGGCTTCCGAATTTTTAGCATCGAACGTAACAAGTTGAGATCGATTGTTTGTTTGTTTGAATCAATCCTAACTCTTTTTCATTTGAGTCATAACTACACATGTTAACTTCATAATTTAACCCGATTAAATAACAAATTTTGATTTGATAAGTACAATTAATTGATAGTAATTAGCTCATGTTAACTGTATCCAACTTGGTTTATTTATTATAATTTTGACATGATAAAATTCTCATATCCAACGCGATATCAAAAAATAATAAGAAACCCATGTTGGAAAAATGCCAAACTAGTCACACTATTGAGGAAGGTGGGAGGGTTTGGAGAAAAAAAAACTTGGTAAAAGACATAATTTTCTTCTAACAGGTTTTTTCTTCATGTGGTAAGTGAGAAAAAGAAAGAAAAGTGACGATTCATTGTGGCCAGTATATGAGTTTTGAACTTTCGGGATCGAACGTTACAAGTTGAGATCGATTGTTACAAATTAAGATCGATTGTTTGTTTGAATCAATTCTAACTCTTTATTTGCACCATGACTACACATGTTGAAGTCATAATTTGACCCCATTGAATTGTAAATGTTTGGTATGATAACTATAATTAATAGATAGTAACTAGTTCCCATTAACTCTATTGAACTTGGTTTATTTATTGTAATTTGACATGATAAAATTCTTATATCTAATGCGAAATCAAAATATAATAAGAAACCCATGTTGGAAAAATTACAAACTAGTCATACTATTGAGGAAGGTGGAGCGTTTGGAGAAAAAAAGTTGGTAAAAGACAGAATTTTCTTCTAACAGGTTTTTCTTCATGTGGTAAGTGAGAGAGAAAAACAAAGAAAGGTGATGATTCATTGTGGCCGGTATGAGTTTTGAACTTTCCGGATCGGACGTTACAAGGTGATATCGATTGTTTGTTTGAATCAATCCTAACTCCTCCTCGTTAGCGTCATGACAACACATGTTGAAGTTATAATTTGACCCCATTGAATTGTAAATTTTTTAAATAATAATTACAATTTATAGAGATAGTAATTAGTTCCCGTTAACTGTATTGAACTTGGTTTGTTTATCGTAGTTTGACATAATAAAATTCTCATATTTGATGCAATATAAAAAAATAATAAAAAACCCATGTTGGAAAAATTCCAAACTAGTCATACTATTGAGGAAGGTGGGAGGGTTTGGAGAAAAAAAAAACTTGGTAAAAGACAGAATTTTCTTCTAATAGGTTTTTCTTCATGTGGTAAGTGAGAGAGAAAAACAAAGATAGTTGACGATTGAGAGAGAGGAGAATATTTGAAATGATGCCCCAAAGAGAATGCAATAAAGTCGAAGAAATAATGAGAAAAGATCATTTGCAATTCTCTTTTTTATAAAAGTGGAAACAGAGGATGGACCAGAGCATACATAGGGAAACAGAAACGACATGGAAAAGCTGAAAATTGTTTTAGGATATTATGACAACTGGCTGATCAAACACATGATTGCTACGACCATTATTAACCAATTTTTTTTTTAAAAAAAAAAATTATATGCTATACGAACCTAGTTATATGTACTGATTATAAACTAAATTATATAAATTTTTACGTATAAGGATGACATTGTGACGGGTTTATTACTGATTTTTGCATGCACCTCCCCTGTACCCCCTAATGGACCGGTTATGGGGTAATGTAGAACGTGTCACAAAAAATTACATAACAGATCAGACTTTTGAGAGTAACGTTGATCGAACACTAATCAAAACTAATTTTGCAACTAGTCGTTCAATAGAATAGAGTAGGATAAAGTAGGATCGAAAATTATGGCCAATCAAAAATTTAAATTCCCCTAATCATAGGGGTTGTGCCGATACTAAAAGAGTCTCCAAGTTACAACAAACTTTACTGTGAATGATTGAGCTTAATTGTAATTTTCATAAAAGAAAATATTATTTAGACTTAATTTGAGAACCTAATTCAGGGATCTAATTCAATAAAACCATTGGATTGATTATGGATTCTATTTAACATTGAAACTCACAACTAATTCAATAATTACATTAAAACCACATCATTAAGTCCCTAAATAAATAAAGTCCCTGCGGCATTGGTTCCGAAAACACAATAACACCACCATCACTAGTCATTCTATAGTACACTGCTAGTCTCATGGGCCTCTTATCAGTAATGGAATCTCAGATGTGTATAGCCCATATCCAGAACATTCTGTTGTGTTTGAAAGAATCGGCCCATTTGAAGTAAAAATCTAGCCCAAATGATTATCTCTTCATCATAGCAAAGGCCCATATGAATCTCTTTAGCTTAAAAAGAAATAAGAAAACACAGAGCAACGCCCACCGTGGGGCTCGAACCCACGACCACAAGGTTAAGAGCCTTGCGCTCTACCAACTGAGCTAGACGGGCTTGTTGTCAATGTTCAATGATATATGAATAGTAAGTAAAGTGTTTAGGTTCACTCGTGGACCTATTCATTGAGAACAACTTGCCACCTTATTGATTTTATATATTCCAGCAACTTCCTAGAAATAACCCCAACTAATAATTCTTTTGGGTGTGGCTACAATGGGTATTGATGTTAAAAGCTTGGCTCTTTGTTCTACATTTCTTTTTACGGAGGGAAACCCCTAAAAATAAATAATTAAAATATTGAATTCGTTAAGGTAAACAATACTCTAATGTAGCTCATAGGCATGATTGTTTACACTTTCTGTATAATTTTCTTTATAGATCTAATCTCGACTTTGATTAGAAAAAACAAAATGCGAAACTCAAGAAAGGAAGGTTATAGCTAACGATAGGTTGTATTCGTACAAATGGCCACATTCCATCATGCACTCACTGGACACCAATTAGACTGAATAGTATGCAACAATAGTGTTCAATCAAGGGTGGTAAGACAAAATGTTTACACCTGCAAAACTTACTAGGGTTGCATCACTACTCTTGGACAGATGACTGAAAAATGAAGAGAGAGAGAGAGAGAGAGAGAGAGCTCACACAATCTAGTTGTCCCAAGCTAACCAACATGAGCCTATATAACTCTTGGTGTGACAATCAGAGAAGGGTGAACAAACTTGAATAGAAATCAAACTAGAGATTTAGAGAATGCCACAATCAAGTACACTTCTGCAAGCCAAACAACACACACATATCGTATGCTACGATGAACATGTCAAAAACTATTTTCCTGGTAGTATTTTGGGACAATTGGGTACAAGGAACCTTGGCAAAAAGTACTCTCTGAGTGATTCATCACGATGGACGCCACCACGACCACCACTTAGCAGTCAAGCTGCTATATATCCTCAGGAATTATTGCAGAGTGTTTTTCAGGATCATATTCAAGCATTTAACAAGAGAAGAAACATGGACAGTCATCCTGATATACTGTTACATGGGTCAACGTTTTCAGGGGATCAAGAAAATAAAAGTAAAATAGAATATGATATAAACAACCTACTTCAAGAGAGATGAGAATCGCCCGTGCTTCAATTTGAAAAGAACTAAATTTCTAAGACTTTTACAAGTTCAATACAAAATCCAATATATCCANTGAGAATCGCCCGTGCTTCAATTTGAAAAGAACTAAATTTCTAAGACTTTTACAAGTTCAATACAAAATCCAATATATCCATTTTATTAAGAATGAGGTCTTTAAAATTTAAATACATAATAAAAATAACTATATAAACAACAAACACACTCCATTATCCCACTAACTAGATACCTACTTAAAAAAGTACTCACAAATACTCTATCCNCATTTTATTAAGAATGAGGTCTTTAAAATTTAAATACATAATAAAAATAACTATATAGACAACAAACACACTCCATTATCCCACTAACTAGATACCTACTTAAAAAAGTATTCACAAATACTCTATCCCTAACCTACTAAAATAATTTTATAATAACCACGTTTGAAATTAAATAAATAAAATGTGTATATTACATTCCCAAAAAAAAAATTAAAAATTAAAATAAAGGCAAAAGCATGATTATGGAGTACTTGAACTAGTCAGTTTTAAGATCTTCGGTAGAAATTTGCATATCTCTATTCTGTTTAGNCGTTTGAAATTAAATAAATAAAATGTGTATATTACATTCCCAAAAAAAAAATTAAAATAAAGGCAAAAGCATGATTATGGAGTACTTGAACTAGTCAGCTTTAAGATCTTCGGTAGAGATGTGCATATCTCTATTATGTTTACTACTGCTTTTCAATTCATCCTTCAACTAAATCAGATCAACGAAATATTGGTTAGATTAAATAGACAATACAAAACTGCATGACAACAAACTTTATTTTTGTCCATATTTTTTATTAGTCTAACATTAGTAAACAATTTTCACAAAAAATATTAAAAAAATAAAGTGTTACCTGCCGAAGGAGTCTCTTTTGGTAACGATAGCCCTAATGAGATAAAGAAATAAATTTACCAGAAGATTAGGATCTGATCAGTTTAAGTCAAAAAAAAAAAAAATAGAATAAAAAACNTAAACAATTTTCACAAAAAATATTAAAAAAATAAAGTGTTACCTGCCGAAGGAGTCTTTTTTGGTAACGATAGTCCTAATGAGATAAAGAAATAAATTTACCAGAAGATTAAGATCTGATCAGTTTAGTCAAAAAAAAATAGAATAAAAAATNTCTCTTTTGGTAACGATAGCCCTAATGAGATAAAGAAATAAATTTACCAGAAGATTAGGATCTGATCAGTTTAAGTCAAAAAAAAAAAAAATAGAATAAAAAATTGAAGTGTTCTAAATGACCTTGTCAGTTCCATTGATGTAATCACAGTAGGTGAACACAGAAGCGAAGTTGCTCTGGCTTTGTCCACCAACATAGTGAAGATAATCATGGTAATCTGCGCCGCCATAAAAAGGAATGTATTTTGTGGGAGTCGAAGGAACACCGTACCTATAAAAATGACAGGAGACAAGTTACAACATGCTACAAGTGTAAATGGATAACTAGCTATACCCTAGAATTGAAGTTATTATATATTAAGTTATGATTTTATGCATATATTAAAATGTGTGTACAAATGCAATGTGTATATATTGAGTGTGTGTTAAAGTGCAAGTAGTTGTTTGTTGTGCGGTGTTCGTGTTAGGTTTGTGAAATTTTTGGAAAAAAATGTATGATAGATGTGTGAAATTTGGTAAAAAAATATACCCTCATAAATTCAATAATTTAACTATCTTATTATATAGACTATTTATTACCAGTACTTAAAGGCACTATATAACAAACAAATTTTTTTTAAATAATTGTCCAAATTCAAAAAGAACGACTTAAAAATATTTATATTATTTCTTCTTTTAAAATGGTTTGAAATATATCATCGATTATATTCTCCATATTAATGAAACTGTCATAAAAATATATAAAAACTCTTCAAAATAACACCATATATACAAATATCTATGAGAAAAAAAATACTAACATAATACATTAAAATTTACATTCTTTAAGCAATAAATAAAATCTTGCTTATTTATAAGATTCACGAATTTATCACATCTACTACCATTCAATCCAATAATACAACATAATTATAAATTCAACCACTATATTTTCAATCCACTCTATCTCCATGTAATAAATAGCTCAAGCAAAAAAAAAAAACTAGTAAAACACAATTAAATTCACAATCTTTAAATAATAAATAAGATTAACCAAATCTTACTCATTTATAACATTCATGAATTTATCACCATTCAATCCCAAATAATACAATATAATTATAAATTTAATCACCAAATATTCAATCCTTCACATATAAATATACACAAAAATACACTCACACACATTTCTTTTTTGGTTATCAACAAACTCTTATAATCAATAACTATTTTTATTAAAAATACAACAAATTAATTTTTTTTTAAAATAAAATAGTAATAAATTAATGTTTAATTAAAAATTAGGGTAAAAATCACGAATATCGCTTGAGTTTTAATAATATTACACAGACACTGCTGATACTTTATAAATAATACATAGACTCTCTAAAGTTTATTATTAATTGCACAGAGACCCCATCTATCTCTCTTCTATCAATATTGCTAACGAAAATTGATAATTTTATCCCAAATTTTTTTATAATTTTTACAATTGCCCTTCTCCAAAATTAGTACAAAAAAAATTAAAAATTTAATAAAATAAAATTTGATTTAGTACCTAAAAAAATGATATAATTTAGTACCCCCAAAAATTGATTAAATGAATTTCAATATTAATTTGACAAAATTGAATATAAATTGGAAAAAATTAAATGTTATTTTTTGATAAAATTTTTAATTTACAATTTAAGGTTCATTTTGTGTTGAATATTATTTAGTGTTTATATTCTATTTGCTAAAAAAATTTTGAATTCATGGAATAAATAATTTCATAACGTGTCAATCAATTTTCAATTTTTTTTAGTATGTTTAGTCCTTAAATTTTAGTTTATTGGCTTTACCATTCAAATATCTCTGTGATAATGTTTACAAGATAATTTATTTAATAAATGTAATGGATAGTAAGTGAATAACTGATAAATTTTTAATTATTAAAATGACAATTAATCTCACTTTTTTTACAATGGTGATAATTTGTCATGTTCTTATATATATACAATATACAAATTTTTTTTCCTTACAGACTTCAAATATCAAATAAGTTATGATTAATATAAATGAATTATTTTGTCTTAACTGGTTTGGAGAAAAAAAAAAATTAGCCCATGGCAGTGTAAAATGCATGCCTCCATCTATGGATGCATGTTTGTACATTTGAAGTTTCTTTGTTTTTTTTTATAGACAGAATCACTCTGAAACTTACACTTAAAAGCATAAACGACAAAAGACTTTATACATACATACAACCCCAAGGCTATCCGATGTGGGATAGCCCCAGCCCCCTGGTCATTCCTCACTAGAAGGTGCAACCAGTTCTGAATCCAATTGTTCTAGTTCCAATCAACCAAAATCTTAAAATGGACAACGCGTTGTTATCTTATGTATTATATTTCTTTCGTAAAAGAGCGGGAATCATCATAAGAGAACAATTTAGTCCACGTCTCACCCTACCGTTTACTTTATCTTTCGAATTCATATTTTTAACAAACAGTAAACAATTTTTAATAATCCCAACATTTCCATTCACCTTGAAGATACAATTAAATATCAGATTCGAGCACAGTGAACCAAAGTGACTAATGCTACTGTTAGATTAAACTAGGAGCAAATGACAATTTGCACCCTAAAAGATCAATTATTTTAAATTATATACTCGATAAAATTAATTAATAGCAATATGACCAATCAAATTTTCGTCAAATTGGCAGGTACGTAAGAAGGATGGACGTGAAAAGGGGAAGGGCCTTCCAGTAAAAACCCACCATGTTGCATAGTGTAAAATGCCTTGATCAGTACTGCATGGGTGAATGAAATAAACCTTTATAAGCGTAGTGAGGGAGAAAGCAATGCTTACCCACTGTGGGCATCAAGTGCCTCAAGCTGCCTCAACCCAACCCACAACCACCAAGTAATCATGTGCCCCGGAACCATGGCGGGCCCGAGAAACAACGGAAGCAAGGTGATCAAAATCTCTGTCCAGTGACCAGAGGTGTTCAAATGTTTGATTGATCGTAATTTTCTATTCTATATGACTTTATCTTATTTTACTGAACGGTTAACCGCAGAAATCGGATAGAGATGCAGAAGAGTTTTTAGTCTTTCAATTAAATCGGGTAGGAATGCAGAATATCCATCAATTTTGGCATTCCTACCCTACCCTACCCGTAAAAAATATATTTAACTTTTTTATATATTTTTTAGTAATTATAAGAGTATTTGTGTGGTATAATTTATATTATAACATTGTTATTGTTGTGGATGTTTGAGTTGCAAAAACATGAATTTGTTTTTTGTGTAGGTTACATGATTTGTGGTGAACTAGTGATCTATTAGAACAGTTATGATTTTAATGTGTTTCATATGGTTTAAACATAAAATAATTGTTATTGTATTTGTGTAATAATTATGATCGATTGATGTTCATATTTTCTTATGTTTTATTGAAATTGTTATTGTAGTTGTTTTAGATTTTAATGCTATAGATTTATTGTGTTGTTAAATTGGTGCATGTTATTTAATTAAATTGTTAAAATGATCCAAAATTTAATAACTACAAAAATATTTACCCATATTCTTATTTGACTTTCTACCTGTTTTGCGGAAAAAAAAATTATTGGCTTACCTTACCTGATCAGGTGTGGTATTTTTACCAAATTAATTGGGTAGGAAATCGGGTAAGAATATCACACCTGATCGGATATGATAGACCAAAAAAATATTTTCAATAAAATATTGAATAGAAAGATAAAAAATTATAATTTTTACCCATAAAGTAGGGTGAATACCTCTACTAGTGAGCATACGCTGCCGCAAACCCAATCGGCGCAGCGCGTGGTGAACCCTGTGAATCTTCTCGTATCTCCGCTTACAATGCAGAAACCTACGAACCCAATAATTCAAATAGTCCTCAACAATTACACAAACCGTCAATTGGGCCACAATTTCCCCCACCGATGGTCTTTGACAGGCTCATCCAAATTCCAATCATCTGCAAATGTATATGTTTTATTTAAGGGAAATTTGAAGGCCGATTTTTCTATATTGATTTGTTTTGACTTAAATTTATTAAAAAAATTTATTTATTATGAAGTCTATTTTTTGTCAATTTTACCAGACTATTATTTTCCTTTAGAAGTAAAGTAAAACTAAAAATTAAAACCTCATAAATCTTAGAAGTTTGACTAGCATTAAAAAAAATTTCTTTCATATCTATCTATTTTCATATATAAATTAGGAATATATATATGTAACATTAAAAATAAAAAATAGTAACATTCAAATACAAAAAAAAGTTATCAATTAAACACAAAAAATAATATCATTTAACACAAAAAAAAAGGTAACATTTAAACATAAAAAAATAGTAACATTTAATATTCATATTTTTTAAAAATAACAATAGTAACATGTTCAACAAAAATAGTAACATACTTAACAAAAATAATAACATGTTTAACAATAATTATCTCTCTCAAATTTAAACACAAAAATAGTAATATTCAAAAACAAAAATAAAAATAGTAACATTGAATATAAATATTTAAAAAAATAATAGTAATAACATGCTCAAAATAATAGTAACATGAACAGTAACATACTCAACAAAAACAGTAACATAGTAAAAAAAAATAGTAACATGAAATATTCAATTTAACAAATCAATACTAATTCTAATAAAGTACAAACAGTAACATGAAAAATACACTTAGAACCTAATTTCAAAAATAAAATAAAAAAAAATTCCGATAAAGAATGTCGCGATACCACATAGGGTCGAGTTTGTGCCATTTAGTGGATTTAGTAATGGGCATGGTTCGGGTCTTCATGAATTGGAAGATGAACTTAGTATGTTTGACTAGCCCAAGGAGTAAGATAGCGAAGGTAATGGCGGCAGAGTTGGTGGTGGCGGTGCTAGGTGGTGTGGGTAAGTAGTGGTGCTAATGACGGATTGGATGGTGGTGATTGTTTTCATTGGCCAGGCCTTGCTAATTTCACTCCAAGTCAAAGCTCTCAAGTAAAGCTTCGACTAGTTAATATCCAATGAAATAGGGAAAAAAAATATGGATTTGGTTTTTGAGTTCGTCTTTTAAGTAGCATTGTTGTTCAAGCAGTATATATTTGTTTAGGTATCTTGATTCAGATTTTGAATTTGAATTTGAATTATTAATGAAATTTTTTAATTTGAAATTAAATTAATAGACCAATAATTTTGTCGTAATTCAAGCATCAAATTCGATTTTCATAAAAACTGAACAATTTGTTATTATATATATCTCAAACATCTAACATATGATTTTTCATAATTGACCAAAACTAATACTGTTAGGGGTATTTTTGAGATAAAAAAAATGGATTTAAGTCATTACACATAATTTTAAACATGGACTTAACCCCTTATAAGTTTCTTCACCAGACTTATCTCCAAACAAGTACATCTAGAGAGACTCACCTCTAATTTTCACTTTATTTAATTCTAGTGAAATCAAAAAAATACAACATTAATAAGGGCAAATTATCTTTTTACTTTTTTAAAAGTATTCGTCTAATTTGTATTTGGTACTTAAAATTTCAATTGTAATAATCAAATCTTTAGAGTTTTAATTTAGTTCTCACATCAAAAGTTATCAAGTTATTATACTAGAATGGTATTTCGTGACCAACAAATGACTTGATTAAAAAGATATATTTGTCTAGGAAAACGTGTAGGCTAAAAAATTTTATTTTATTTATCTGATTTTGAGAAAAAAATAATTATAAATCCAGAATAAAAAAAATATATAAAATGAGAATTCAAGAGGTATTATAAGACAAAGGGAGAAAATATTGATATATTTGAAAAAAAAAATTTACTGAACAAATATACATTTATAGGCAAGTTCTGTCTTTCCCTTGGGAAAAAAAAATAATAGATATAGATAGAATGTTTGGATTGAAATTCTATTAAAATTTTATGTAATTGTAACAATTGAAACTTTCGTGACCAAATAGAAATTACAGTTAATAATATTTTTGGTCACTAAAGTATATATGTTTTATCAGTTTAGTCCTCATTGTATTAATTTTGTCAATTTTAACCATAAATTATTCAATTCGTGTCATTTTTGTTCATAATCAAACATTTCATCGAGTTTTTTTACAGTAGTGTGACCAAATGTCATTTTTATAGATGATTATCATGTGTTTAACACGTAATTATTCTGTCAAAAATATAGCGATCAAATTGATACAATAAAAGACTAAATTGATAAAAAATACATATTTTAGATACCACAAGTGCTATGAAGCTTAGAAATTATGTAAATATTACCCTATTAATAAAACGGATAATTGTTTTTTTGGAAAAAATGTTAAAAAAGATAATCGTTGCTGGCGCTATTACTTTGATTGCAAGGTAGGAGACAAGTTGGGCAGGTCCAACGGCGAGGATGAAGATGTGCATTAGGTTTCTGTAGCATCGGAAGGTATCGAAGTAGGAGAGTTTAATATTTGGTTGGATTTTGTAGGTGTGGATGCTTCTGTACATGGGCTCAAGGATGACGTAGCAGCCCCTCCTGTGCGCCCAGCCAGCGCAGCAGCCTCTCTTGAGCGCCCCGCCAGCAGGTCCTCCTCGCCCATGGTGCCTCCACTCCGGCGCCTAGGGCCTCTCTCAAGCCACGCGGCTCCCTTTTCTCTCCTGGGACAACACCGATCTCTCTAAATTTTTCAAATTTCAAGAAAAACTCTCCTTTTCTTTTTCAAAATTGTATAGAATGGGCAGAATGAAGAAAAAACTCTCTATTTAGATAATAGGATTCTTCTAGAATCTAGATAAAAATGGGATGGTCTCAAGATCTTCTATAGTGGTGAGATATATCACGACGAGGAAAAATCATCAATCAAAAAGGGTCTTTGTCAGAATTCAAGGTTCAACTAAATGCCCTCTTCTCCAAGTTTTATTGGACACAGGGTGTTGAGGTGCAAATGATCATCAATTAAAAAGGGTCTTTGTCAGAATTCAAGGTTCAACCAAATGCCCTCTTCTCCAAGTTTTATTGGACACAGGGTGTTGAGGTGCAAATGATGGGTCAGGGCCAAGGGCCTAACCCACGATAGTGAGCCCAATTTAAAGTAAGAGTCCAACTTATAAAAATCCAGTATCCAGTCCAAGGAGTTCACGTTCGGTCAAGCTCGTCAAGGGAGTAAGTAAGGTCATCTGAGAGCTTCATCCACACCGCCTTGGAAAAAGTCAACCCTCATGTCATCCTTTGACTGAATCTTATGGAGAACACAATAATTATCTCATCCGTTGAAAAGAAGGTGTTAGTTCTACCAGATTAGTCACTTAATTACTAGTAACTCGTCCAATCTGTTATGAGACAACTATAAATTGTAAGTCTCGCCAACACTTAGGGGGCATCATATTCAGTTGAGCACAACTCTCTAATTTCTCTCAGCTTGTAACTCTCTGCTCTCTCTACACTCTTGAAGTAAAAAAATACTTTAGAGATTCTAGTCATTCAAAGTAAATATATATCACATTTATTGAGTTACTATAAATCTTTGTCTTACTTGTGTCTCTATATCTCTATATTTTACTATTACAATATTCAAGTTTTCAATGAGATTTTATTTATTCTCAATGAGATCAAAAAATACAATATTAAAAACAATAAATTACCATTTTAAGATTTTAAAAGAATTCATTAGAATTTTATTTGGTATTTAAAGTTTCAATTACAATAATCAAGTTTTCAGAATTTTAATCTAGTTTTCACATCAAAATTCATCAATCTATTTTGATAGAATAATCTTTTGTGATCACATAAATAAACAGATATATTTGCCTAGTGAAAAATCTGTTACATTTAAGGTAAAAAAAAACTTATTTTACTCATCTGATTTTGAGAAAAAAATAATTAAAAATAAAAAAAAAAGATATAAAGTGAGAATTCAGTATATATTGTAAGACAAAGAGAAAAAATATCGCTATATTTGAGAGACATGTTTTTGCTGGACAAATAATCCTTTATAAGCAAGTCCTGTCTTTATGTTGGAAAAAAGTTAGAGATATGGATATATAGAATTATTGGATTGAAGTTCTATTAAAACTTTAAGAAATTAACTGTAACAATTAAAACTTCAAAGACCAAACAAAAATTAGAATTAATAGTATTTTTAGTTCATAAAATATGCACGTTTTGTCAATTTGAACTCTAAAGTATCGATTTAGTTTCTAAATATCCAATTTGTATTTAAATGATCTCTACACAAACGGACCGTTAAGTTTTTTATGGAATGATCACGTGTTGGACACGTGATATTTGAAAAAATAAAAACATGGTTACTTTCGTCAAAAAATTTAACGAATTATTTGATTAGGGACAAGAATGATACGAAATGAATTTTTATGGATCAAATTAATAAAAATAATACAATGAGAACCAAATTGACAAAACGAACATACTTTAAGGACTAAAAGTGTTATTAATCCTAAAACTTATGTTCATATTACCCTATTAATTAAACAGAAAATTGTTGCTTTGAAAACAAATGTTAAAAAAGATAATCGTTGCCGGATTTGTTACTTTGATTGCAGGGAAGGAGACGAGTTGGAGGGGTCCAATGACGAGCATGTAGATGCGCATTACGTCTCCGTAGCATCGGAATATATCGGAGTAGGATGGTTTGACATTTGGTTGGATTTTGCAGGTGTGGAGGTTTTAGTAGATGAGGTAGAAGAGTGGTACAACTGAGAAAGTGAGGAAGACGATGAGGAGGCTGTGGCAGTAAAGTAAGTAGTCTGATTTGTTGCCGGAGTAGTTGAACCATAGCGTTTCCGCGGAGGTTAAGGTCCTGCCGAGGACCGTCTCGGCTTCTTGCAGGGTTTTATACGGCAGCATTGATGTTGGTGGTGGCGGCAGCGGTGACAGGGAAGGGTGGTTGTGAAGTGTTTGTTAGGTGTTAGTTAAATTGTGCGGGAAAGTTTCAAACATATGTAGTATATTTAAGGGAGGAGGGGAGTGGCTGGCATATGCTATATAACGTAAGAACTAGTAGTCCCACGAAGCTTTTGTTAGGTGTTAGTTAAATTTTGGAACTAGCTAGACTCCTCCACACCAAGAAGCAAGTGACTTCAATTTCCCATGGAATTGAGATGGTTCAATACTTTCAGCTACTAAATTCTTAGAAAATTGTTGGTCACCTCAATAAATTATGATTTTGAAGCTTAAGCTACGTAGTAATATTTTACGTATTTAAAAAAAAAAAAAAAAAATCTTGTCATGTAAAGCAACCAAAATTCGGTATAAAAATATGATAATCTTGTGTAAACTGTCTTTTTCCTCCGCCTTACTTACACCACTTGATGTGATACAATCACAACCATTAAATGTTTGATAAATTTTATGGGACTACTAATTTAATAGTATACATTGAGGAGGTGCAGAAAGATGGTGTGTGTATAATTGTTAATAAAAATATGGAACATGAATTCGTCATTATAGCTTAGAAGAAAACACTTCATGGTATCAATATCTATATATACTTTCAAATGTCAGGCAATACGAAAAACTTTTAATTTTCCTTGTTACCCTTAAAGAATGTATGAAGACAGTTCAAAGCACACCCATTATACCTTTATTAATGTTATTTATAACATAATTCTTATCTTCTACTGTTCCCATTAAATTATGAGTTAGAGAAACTAGAGAGAAGGAAGAGAATTATTCTCTCTCACTTCCTCTCTTTATATATATAGAATAAACAACTAATAGACAACTATGTTGAGAATTGAGTCTACATACGTATTAGAGCTTTTATTTTTGCTATAAAATGAGATCAACGAGTGATTTCAATCATAACCTTAGGCCGGATTTAGGGTAGGAATCACCAGAAAAAGCAAAAAGGAAAACACCAATGGAACAAGTTGATTAAGTTTTGATCTCTGTAGCTATTTAGTATAGCAACTGTGGCGAGATATTCACCACCACCACTCGGAACTAATCGTTGTTGAATAAATTTTTTTGGCATTTAAGCTGCTACATATATCAGAAATTATTGCAGGGTGGTTTACAGGTTCAAATTCAAGCAAACACGAGAAGAAAGCTCTCCGCTTGTCCCCAGATTAATAATGTCCAAGGGACAAGTCATATGGCACGGAAAGTCGATCATGAAATTCCTTCAAATTTAGAATATATTATAAAAATTTAACCATCCGTGCGCAGAACAGAGTGTTTGCTTTCTCAATTTATTTGCTAGAAGCGTGCTCACAACAATCAGAGCATAAATCAAAACCTTCTCCATACTAAAAAGTTTATTACCATAATAGATGTATCAACAACATATACATACACAAACGTATTTATAAAATACAAACAATAGTGATACTGAAAGCAGGATTATTTTCGGCGTTATAGTCTATACTTCAAATAACCATGCAGAATTCAACGAGTATGCCATTGCCTACTAAAAGTGCAATGATACTGAAAGCAGCCATATCTCACATTCAACCATGAGCCTATTGACCTTTCACAAATGAAAATTTTGAATGCTCTACTTAAGCGACAAGACTGAAACTTCAGCAGAAACTCCATTCCATAAGACATGACTGTGATACATGCATTTTAGCCTGTGTAAACACAATTATAGTAAATCAGCTTTTATTTATATATAACTTGTCTTGCAAATATTTAAAAGGAAATTAGTCGAAAGTGAAGATCAGACTGGAGACTTGTAAAGATTTTTCAGTCTGAAACTCAATCAACACACCAAAACCAACCAATCTATATGATTTTGATTTCCACAAACTGACAAATAACAGAAGTTTGGGTCCACGACTTGACACTGAATGGTTTAAATCCTCTCCCCACACTACTAAAGATAACAATTTTAGAGGACCCATAGGTAATCCCCACCAGAACCACTACAACTCTTTAATCTAACAGACTGGAATATAGTGAGCACAACAGATGATGTCAACTTTGAAACCTAAGGTTTGAGAGAGTTGTCACTAGTAAAAAGCATAGCCCAAAACGAAAAGTCAGGAGCAGGGTTCTGAAGACCCATAACTAGTCACATTTAAGATCTTCTGGAGAGATGTGCAAACCTCCATTCTGTTTGCCACCACTTTTCAATCCATCTTTCAACTGAATCAGATCAATAAAATACTGATTAGACAGACAGTGTGAAAATACATTATAGAAAACTTGGTAAATAACTTCCACATAATATTCAAGAATTAAAAGGCAAAACAAAAAAGTAGATATCTTTTATGCCAAAAAGAAAAAAAAAAAGGATATTTAATTGTAAAATGAAACTGAAATATTACAACATGAAACCGAATGTCCAGAAAATTCACAAAACTGAGATGCCTTTTTTTTTCCTTGTGCAGATTTTAAAAAAGCTGTTTTTCCTGGGCAAAGCCTTTGGTCAACATTAAACTCAAACCAAACATTACATTCAAAATGACGCTGAGAAATTTTCCAGTCTCAAAAACCTAAAGTTCATCAAATTCCCAGAATGCACTACAGATGTCCCTAATTTATGAAGCATTTAAAATTAACAGGTTATTCGGTCCATCTCATGCCCTAGCACACTCCAGAAATACAAATGAGGAAGAAATGTCAGTCATGTTTCCAAGAACAAAACGGACAATAAAAAGAAGACAAAGAGCTGCATTGTTACCTGTCGAAGTAGTCTCTTTTGGTAACGGTAGCCCTAATGATAGAAAGCCAAAAAACATTAGTAAAGATTAAGATATAATCATTTTAAGTCAAAAGAGTATAATAAATAGCATAAATGTAACTGTATAGTGACCTTGTCAGTTCCATATATGTAATCACAGTAGGTGAACACAGAAGCAAAGTTGCTCTGGCTCTGACCACCAACATAATGATGGTAATCATGGTAATCTGCACCACCATAAAAAGGAATATATTTTGTGGGAGCCCAAGGAATATCATACCTATAAAAATGAAAGCAGAAAGTTAAAACATGGTCCAAGTGCAGCATAGTACATTTTAGTTCGAGGGATGAATGAGAATTAGATTAGGGAGCTTTACAAAAACTTCCTGCAGAACACGTGGCTGATGCCTTATTCAGGCCATCCTTGAACCTAAAGAGAATACAAGTTCTTTGAGGACATATTTCAATAACATCTAAATTCAAGCACAATTGAATCACAATCAAATCCTTCTCAATTAATTGCCAAAAAGGGAAAAAGGCCTGTGTTAAAAAATGCCAACAGTGGCATATCCATCCTTTATCCTGAGTTCCTAACTCTGGCAGCATGAAACTTGGAACTTTTTCAACCATTGCTTTTTCAGAATGCCCCTTTCTGGTGCCCACATGGGTTGATTTTCTGCAGCCTAAAACATCTTCAATTGGTTTCCCTTAAACTAAATTCAGCTCAACAATTTATTGCCCCAACTTCTTAGGGTCGGTTGCATAATCGTAATCAATTAAGCTGCAACTCAGATATTCACATGTAGATAGCAGGACTGAAAACAAATCAATTTTAATGTCTCTAGCCATCAATCACAATGAACACCTAAACTATTATTTCAAAAGAATTCAAACATTACACTGGTAATTTTCTACTCACCCATACTTTGATCCCACCAGCTAAACCTTCATTTACAGAAAATAAATTACTGAATAGTATCCTATGCACAAGCTGACTATTCATTCACAGAAATGAAATACAAGTAAGCACGACAAAACTATAGAAGGTATATACCAATTAGGAAACAATAGTGTAGTGCGCTCATAGCTAAATTGCAGTCCATTGCTACCAAATAATCTACATAACTTGTCCCATAATGCCACTGTCCTAATTGTAGAACCCAAAAGTCCAAGTTCTTTACCTTTTCCTCATTCCTAGGTTAAAAGCTTAGAATTACTAAAATGAATATCAATGACCTTCCAAAATAAAAAGGGATATCAATGCTTCAATTCAACAAAATTATGGACTAACTATATCAAAGGTTGGCGGCATGTATCATTAACATCATCAAGTATTATGTCACTCTTCCTTGCTGGGTACATTTACATAAATCTTCATGCGAGCAATAGAATTTTCTCTTATCTTTTAGTTTTCCTTCCACCAAATCTTCATAACTACAATAAGTTAAAAACAACAACAGGTCCACTCACACAATTTTCCCCACGAATAATGTTCTGAAATGTCTAGAAGTCATTTCAGAGTTTTTTTTAGCTCAATGTTACAGACTTAGCAACTTCTTTCAGGTCCTCGAGGAACAAACATTCTAGTCCTTCTGACCCTGGTTTACGATTTCTTCTGATTCACTTCCTAAGCTCTTCACAAAATTGTCTAAAATGTTAGCATCTTTTCTCCAAAACCAAAGCTCATTTGGGTTTCATCTTTTGGCTTCTAATATGGTGAAAATAGTCATTTTGAGCATAACGCTCAAGTCATGGCCCTGTAGACTCTCCCGCCCCACCCCCAAAAGAAAAAACACATCCCAAACAGGGCCAAGATGACATATCTGCTGGGCATGAAGAATGGCCAAGGCAAAGTAACAAACAAGTAAGCAGAAAATCAAAAATCTACAATTCCATCTGCCCAGTAGGCCAGTACCCATATGTCAGAGAAATGTGGAGGTGGAGAAAGCCCAAGGCACTATAAAAGATATGCTCTTATCAACTTGTAAGTCGACACTAACTACATAGATCATCTTATTTCTTAGAGCTAAAACTACACAAACTACATAGGTCATCTTTGCATATAGATAATCTTAGTTGTTAGAGTCTCTCCGGTCACCGAGGATGATCGCCCGCACAATGAACGATTGCTGTTCATTTCGCAGCATTTGTAGCCTCCTCTCGAGGCCCTTTATTCCCTGTTCCATTGCGCACATGCGGTCTCCTACAACGGCAGGGGTCATCGGGCGCAGGTGTCCCACATCTTTTATACACTTGAATTTCCTTAACCAACAGCTTTGGATTAATTCTAAACCCCTCTAGTCTAGCCCCATGCCTCACTAGAAGGTGCAAACAGTTCCAAATCCAATTATTCTAGTTCCAGTGAACCAAAATCCTACAATGGATCCTAATACCAAAACCTATATAAAGCCATCAATCCAACAATGAAAAGATGTTGTTGCCTGAGATACATGCACCAGTGGACTCAAAAACTTTAAAAGTCCATGGCAAAATAGAAACCACCATGATGCACAGTTTCACAGAATGCCAATGCAGTTGAAGAAGATAATTTTCGTCAAATTACCCAAGATGAAAAAACAAAGAAGATAAAAAAAAGTGAGATCAGAGAGAGAGAGAAAGTGATTTCAAAAAGAAGACACCCTTATGATCCGTCTCTCCGTGGGCAACAGTAAACAACAATTAATGATCCCACCAATTCCATTTCCTTTACGGATCAATTAAATATCACACTCGAGCACAGTGAACCTAAGTGACAGATGCTACAGTTAGAACATCATTGGGTCAAATTAGCCAAAGAAGAAAATGACAGTTATCAATAAAAACACGACAAAGGAAGTGTAATCAGGAACAAAGCATGCGTACCCACTGTGAGTCTCAATTGCCTCAATCTGCCTCAACCCAATCCACAACCAGAAAGTAATCATGTGCCCCGGGGCCATGGCGGGCCCCAGAAATGACGGAATCCCGAGGATCAGAACCTCCGCCCAGTGCGCATATGGCGCCGCAAACCCAATCGGCGCCGTATACTCGTGGTGAACCCTATGAATCTTCTCGTACCCCCACTTGCAATGCAGAAACCTATGGATCCAATAATTCGTATAATCCTCAACCATAAAATACACCACCAATTGCGCCACAATTTCCCCCACCGACGGTAACGGCAGGCTCGTCCGAATTCCAATCATCTGCAAATGAACATGTATTATTGCCAACAAAATCAACAATACAATATCGACAAATTGGGAAAATGATAATTGTTGCTGGCGGTTTTACTTTGATTGAAGGGTAGGAGACGAGTTGGAGGGGTCCGACGACGAGGATGAACATGCGCATTACGTCTCTGAAGCATCGGACGTTGTCGGAGTAGGATAGTTTAACCTTGGGTTGGATTTTGTAGGTGTGGATGCTTCTGTAGACGAGCTCGAGGATGAGGTAGAACAGTGGGACAACAGAGAAGATGAGGAAGAGGAAGAGGATGTTGTGGCAGTAGAGGAAGTAATCGGATTTGTTTGCGGAGTAGTTGAACCACAGGGTTTCGGCGGTGGTTAGAGTCCTGCCGATGGCGGTCTCGGCTTCTTGGATGGTTTTATGCGGCAACATTGGCGGCGGCGGCGGTGGTGGTGGTGGTGGAGGAGAGATCTGAGTGGGTGTGGGGTGGTGGAGAGAAGGGACAAAAGACGGGTCTCACAAAAACAGTGGTGGTGGGGGGGTGGGGACTGGGAAAGGGGGTTTGAGAATTGTGGAAGAAGTGTTTGTTTTTGTCAGCTTGTTTGTTAAATTATGCGGGAAGAAAACAGATGGAGGAGGAGGGTATTCAAAAGACGAGGGCTTAACAGTTTAACAGCACATGTGCAACGGGTCCATGGCCAAATGGATAAACGGTGATGTGCAACATCACAATATATTTTGTGTGTAATATATTATTATTTTAATTATAATTTTTTATTATTCAGTTATATATCAAAAGTAATTGAACCCCGAACAATTAATTTAGTGAGTAAGAAATTAAATTTTTTTATTTAATATTTGAATTCGAGTTTCAAAATTACGACACTTTAGTGGGGCTAAACATATTCCTCAATACTTAAAGATTAAAACACGCAGTAAGACTTTAACTTCAGTTCCGATATAAGTGCGATAAGATGTGTGGTATTGAAAGACAATTCTTTTTTATACTAGACATTCAGACGTTTTGAGTTTGAAACTTGACAATTCTCTTGAGGACAAATCATGAATTTTTTAATCTCGACGTAGTTATCCTACTTTTAATTGGACTTAGGAGATTTTAAGTTAAATCGAATATTCCTAACTGCAATACTACAAAAAACATAGGTTTTTTTTATTAATAAGCCACTGCTCAGCCCAGGCACCAGTAGTTCATGGTCCTTGTGCAATTCCTCGTCAGACATGCTGGACTGAATCAAAAAATGTTATGTGAAAATTATGATGGCACACTTTTAGATTTACTCAAATTAAATAACACCCTTTTGTTCATAAAATTACAATGTACACCTAGTCATAGCTTTTTTTTTTTTTTTTTTTTCAAGCTATCAAATGGAGAGGGGATTTGAACCTAACATCTCTTTGTGCATGAAAGGAATGATCAGCCACTTGCATGGGACCCAAAGGTCCTCCTAGTCATAGTTTGATGGCTCACAAGATTGATGGAAGGTTTTTTGACATCGCCCTTAAAGACATATTTCTAAAAGAAAATGATTGATTGCTTAAATTGGTTTCGTGTCCATGTATCCTAAAGAATGGGGGGAGTTTGGTTTGAGTGTTCATCAATCGGAGTCACTTTCTAATTTTAATCCTGCACATTTCCTATTTTCTCCCGCTTCTCTAATTGTCACCTCGCCGGTGAAACAACCAGGAATGGGCGGGTAATGGGGTAGCTGATGTGAATTGTGTTTGAGAGTGGTTGACGTGTGGTGGCCGGAAAGAAGAGACAAAAGGGTGGTTAAATCCTCGTTATCCCAACCCTCCAGAGACTCTCAAGAAAGCTATTTTAGTTCTTCGGATATTTAAGGACATTTCCTACATCTCTCATCAGTCTGAATGAATCCCACCTCCGCGGACGGTTGGCAGTTTACAATCCAGCTAAAAAATTGTCTATTAGTAGCTACTGTCACTTCTACTGAGCATCAGCCATGGCCAATGCTTTTTGTAAAGCAACCAACCCTCGTACAATGAGTGGTCTTCGGTGCTCTATAAAATCCAATATTTCTACTTTCTTTTTCTTTATTTTTGTTATAAAAAAGTTCTGGTTGATCATCAAAAAGATATCAGGCAAAAAGGTTTTAAATGTTTGACATTTTTTTTTGTTATAGGGTATTTAGGTTTGCATCGATTACACCTTTAAACTCTAAATCAACTATCGTAATTTTAGTTAATTTAAAGACATGTCCCTTAAAAAATAAGAATGATTAATCCTTAAGGAGTGTGAAAGTCGCTGCTGCTGAAGGCCTATTCTTAAACTAGGCCGCTTGTTTTTCTATGGGCTGAAAGCTAAAAAACTATATAGTTTAGCCCTGCTTAGTGACATTTATAATTAGAACAATTTGACAAATGTTGGGAAAGTTGGAAAACAAACAAAAACTTGATATGTTACTTGAAAAAATAAGCATAAAATACATCTATACTATTAACAAAAAAAAAGAGAGGCTTTAATGCTCACTCTTAAAATGTTGATAATTGGGCTTGTTTGGCGTGATTGTTTTAGATGAAAAGTTGCGATTTAAAAAATTTTGTAAAAAAGTCAGAGTTAAAAAAGTCTTTCAAAATTATTTAAAGTATTCTTTAAAAAATTGAAAAAAGTTAGAAAAGTATGTTTGAAATGACTTTTTAGCTTTTTTTAAGCTTTTTTGTATCAAAATAAAAAATAATAATTACATAAATGTATAAATTATGTATAATAGTTCTCAAAATATAAATTTTATTTGTTTTACATCATTAATAATATTTTTATAAATATAATAAACTAAAAAAAAATTTGTTGGACCTGCAACAAAACCAAAAAAAAAGTTTATAAATTCAATTTCTTAAATCAACTTAAATAAATTTTTTTGGATCCAAAAAAACTACTGCATAAACTGGTCAAAAAATCAAAGTTCAAACGGAAATGACCTCCTTTACTCTAAAACCTATAAAATCAACATATTACGTGTATTTTTTCGCAAATGATTACTCACAAATCTCTAATTAAGTCCCACTCAAATGTATTTATTCATGAAATATCAGTATTTTTACCTTTCATTTCTTCTAAAATAACTAACCAACTTTCTTTTAAATCTTATTCAATTATCTATAAGACTAGTCTTAATGATTATTGGGCCGCAAAGAGAATCAAATGAAAATCAAGTAAAGCAGCTGTCTTTGACTGCGGTGTGAAACATAATAATAATAATCTCTTGACAATAATAGCATTAGCAAGCCCTATCTCACTTTAGGTGTGCAAGAAAAGAGCTTTTACAATCAAAAGGCATGCTATGTTGTGGAGGACCACAAGATCAAAATGGATAAAAAGTAATTCCGTCAACGGATCATATTTGAATCAAATTTTAATTTAATATAATTTGACGAATTTAATTTTTGTAGTCCATAAAACAGTTCGAAATTTAATTTGATCCGATTTGAATAACTTAATTAAATAAATTTTAACAAATNTAATTTTAATTTAATATAATTTGACGAATTTAATTTTTGTAGTCCATAAAACAATTCGAAATTTAATTTGATCCGATTTGAATAACTTAATTAAATAAATTTTAACAAATTATATCTAAATTTTTTTAAACAATCACTTAATTTTTTTTTTAATATTTATATATAAATACATAAAAATTTGGATCGGATCATAATCCAATTAGATATAAGTATATTTAAATTCAAATCTATGAAATATAAATACATAAAAATTGGTATTGTTACTACTGTACCACTATTTATAAATTTTGTGGGTTTTTTTTAAACAAAGTTTGAAAGACATTAACAATTTTTGAGGATCATTTACAATTTTTTAGGGTTATACTTGTGATCGATCCTAAAAATTTGTCAATATGATTTCAAATAACTTTCAAAAATTGTAAATGACTCACAAAAAATATAATTTGAACCATACAAATTGTTATAAGACCCTAAAAATTATATTAAAAAATTATCATAATTAAATAAATATAAAATCTTATATTTCAACCTACAAAACTTATAAATTTTAACGACACAATAAAAAATTTGTTTTTTGTATCATATCTTTTATCTTTACATAGCTATATAATAAAACACCAAAGAACTTGAATTTTTATTCTCTATATATTTTTCCCTTTAAAAATATCACATATTTCTATCGCATGTTCAGTCATTTAATATTTAATAAATTTATAATTTAATATAATTTTTATTTTAGGCATTATTCATATATGATAGTATATACATGTTGAAAAAAATTTGTCAAATACATATTTTGAAAAAAACTTGTTGATATTTTTTAAAAAATAATGAGTAAAAATAAATTTTAAATAATATAATTAAAAAAATAAAAAAAATTATTATTTTATATAATGAGTTCAATTATTTAGGTATTCAAACTTTATGTTTCATCTTACCCACATCCACAAGTTATGAGTAATATATATGATGTATAATATATTCACATGAAAGCTANCGTATCTTTTATCTTTACATAGCTATATAATAAAACACCAAAGAACTTGAATTTTTATTCTCTATATATTATTCCCTTTAAAAATATCACATATTTCTATCGCATGTTCAGTCATTTAATATTTAATAAATTTATAATTTAATATAATTTTTATTTTAGGCATTATTCATATATGATAGTATATACATGTTGAAAAAAATTTGTCAAATACATATTTTGAAAAAAACTTGTTGATATTTTTTAAAAAATAATGAGTAAAAATAAATTTTAAATAATATAATTAAAAAAATAAAAAAAATTATTATTTTATATAATGAGTTCAATTATTTAGGTATTCAAACTTTATGTTTCATCTTACCTACATCCACAAGTTATGAGTAATATATATGATGTATAATATATTCACATGAAAGCTACGGGCCAGAAAAGAGTTGCAGTGGTAATCCTGACTAGACACAGAGAAAAATGTGAGTGATGTAATAATGATAAAAGTTCCATCGTCAAAAGTCTATGCTGCCAGTGCAGAGGGACTTTGAGCAAAAGCATCTTCAATCTCATCTCTTCTCCACACACACAGATAAAAAGCAAAGAAAAGGTAAAACAGAGGATCACAAATGTCAAGTCAACATCTACTCATTTTGTGGGGCCAAGGTACCCAGTATACCACTGAAGTGAGATTGGGTCCACCAAGTATGATCTGGTTTTCTGTGGTGATGATGATGTGATGGGCGTTAATGATTTGTTTGTAGTATAGTATGGTAATAAAAAACATATCATTCCAAAAAATAATTTTTAAAAATTACTTTTTTTTTTATTTAGTAGTGACCGTTGATCAAATTATAAAATAAAGAAAATTTACTAGTGTTACATTTTTTATTAGATTGAAAAAAAAAAAAAATACATGGGTTAATTGCTTCGTAGGTCCCCAAAGTATAAAATTTATCTTATTTTAATTTTTAATATTTCAATTACATCATTTTAGTCCATGAAATATTGAATATCTATATAATAAAATATTTTACAATTCAAATCTCAAAAGATAAACAAAATGATTTTTACTATTCGTGATTGAGATCGCTTTAAATTTTATTTTAAAGTTAATTTAACGGCTAATATTAACGTCATAAATTTAATAGCAAAAATATGATTTTAAATGTTTGTTTGAAGTGATTTTTAAAAGTATTTGTAGAAATTATTTCTCATAAATACTTTAAAAAAATATAATTTTTGAAACTATCCCACCATTACCTCTACCACCATCACTGCCGCCGCCACCACCACCGTCGCCACCGTCGCCACTCCCACTTCCACTACCACTACCACTATCACTATCACTATCACCATCAGCACCAGCACCGTCACCACCACCACCACCCCCCCCTTTCGCCACTATCGTCGTCACCATTGCCATTGTCACCGCCGCTGTCACTACCACCACCGCCGCCGCCCCTGTCGTCGTTGTCACCCACCACCTTTCACCCCCACTACAACATCGTTACTTAAATTTTTTTATCTTTTCTCTATATTCATGATTTGAATTTTGATATAAATACAAATATATTTATCAGTTACCATTTTTTATTACTTTATGCCTTCAAGCATAGACAAAAAACTAGTGTTTCTATATGGTCTTTCAAGCAGACAACGTTCAGATTATTAACCATTTTTTATAATAAATTTATCACGTGCTTCTTAAATATGGACAAAAAATAAATTAGATAACTCTTGATCAAATTTTTACTCAAATTTTAGTTAAATAGTTATATAACTTGTACAGTTTTGATCATGAACTATCCAAATTTTGTTCAAAAATTACCTATATTACACATTTTTTTTAGAATTGCTCAAATTTTGTTTAAGAGTATAACATTAATCTAAAAGACTATAATATTATTTAGAGGGTATTTCAGGCATTTTGCCTCAAAAATGAACTTTTATCCAAAATATTTTTTAAATGAATTTTTATTCAAATAACTCTTAAAATTTATACCGACTTTTGGTTTTTCCTAAATTTTTTGAGTTGTATAACGTAAATATGAAAGACTATAATATTATTTAGAATCCCCCTTTTATAGAGGCTCGATACAAACATTGAAATTGTCTGTCTATTTGGCCCGCCGTAAGCCAATTCAAGTATTAAAACCGAAGTACTAAAAAAACCCGATGAGCTTGAGTTAGTCCACTCAAATTACACCCCTAGCATGTGCCATACAGCCATAGAGTCATAGACTTTAGATAAACATAAGCGTCCAGCAGTTTCATCTCTGATTAAAGATCTTCTTTTTCTTTTTCACAGAGAGAGAGAGAGATGGGAAAGAAAGGTGACAGAAAATCACATGTCAAAATCTAATCATTTTGGGGGCCCAGATTCAATTGTAAAAGTTTACGATACAGGAAAAAAAAGTCGACACTATATCGTTAATTATAAATTTTTATTATAAAATTATATATTTAAAAACAAGTATAATTATTTAAAAGAAGACTATGATCAATCATAAAATTTTGGTATCGATCACAATCTTTTATAATCAATTATTCTACTTAAAAGTTGTAATTTACGCCTTAAAAAATTATAATTTTTTGTTAAAAAAGTATAATTTTTAGTACGGTACCAATGATGGTACTCTAACTTTTTTTGATTCTATTATTCTTTGAAGGTATAATTGGACCCACAATATAGTGTCTTATTTGAAAAATATTTTTTGATATCGTATTTTTAATAAATAAAAATATACTAGTTTATAATTTTTTTCATTGATGAAGATTTTGGTACTAAAATCTTTCCCCAATGTATAATCAAGCTTCGTGGTGACGTAATTGCCCAATAGTATCGTAATTAAATAAAATCACTCAGTAAATCATCATCAATGTGAAAGTTTTTAATTGTATAAATTTATTAATAATAAATTTTATGTGATAAATTACAGTATTATTTATTTTCAATAAAATTTTAAAAATTAATTCAAACATGTCGACTGAACATAATGAAAATCATTTTCAAATACAACTCAAAACAAAAAAATAACAATGTTTATTTAATTTTAGGAAGAATTACACCTAAACCCCCTCAGATTTGTCATTTAATCACTCAGACTCCCTGACATTTGAAATATTACACACAGACTCCCTAAAGTTTGTACACGCGTAACACTTAGATTCTTACTGTAAATATATCCGTTAATAAATTACAGTCAGACCTCTTTAAGTTTGTAAACATATATTATTTAGATTTCTTAAATTTAAAATGTTATATTTAAACCAAAAATGCTTCAATCAAAAATAAAATATCAAATATTTTAAATTTTAAGATTAAAATTCTTGTTCTATTAATCTTTTATTGAAATAAAATCAAAAATTTAAATTTAATTTTTTCTTAAAAAATCGTAATTAATATTCAATTATATTGTCTATTGGAATTTAACTTGGTCATTTAAACGACCAAATTAAAATACTAAACTACCCCAATTAAAGTTAAAAGATATTGTGTCTATTACAGTTTGACATCTTATTTATTTATTTTTAGTTTTATTCTAATAGATAATATAATTATATATTAATTATGATTTTATTTTAATAAATAATATAATATAATATAAATTTTGGATGAAAATTTTATGTTATAATATGAATGACTTAGATTTTTTATTTGATTTTTTAGTTTTATTCCAATAGATAGTATAATTGTATATTAATTACAATTTTTTAAGAAAAAAATTAAATATTTAATTTTAATAAATGATACAATAGAATAAGAAGTTTAGTTATAAAATTTAAAATATTTGATATTCTATCCTTGATTAGAGTATTTTTGATCTAAATATAATATTTTAAACTTAAGGGGTCTAAGTATTATATATCTACAAACTTCAAGGGAGTCTAAGTGTAATTTATTAATTGATATAATTACAGCAAGGGTCTAAGTGTTACCCGCGTACAAACCTCAGAGGGCCTGCGTATAATATTTCAAATATCAGAGGACCTAAGTAATTAAGTTACAAACTTTAAGAGGTCGAGATGTAATTCTTCTTTAATTTTATTACATAATCTCTTGAGTACCGTAAATTTCATCATGTCTCTGCAAATAGATGACCCTGATTTTACTTTATCCCTTGACTATTGATTTGAAAATATTACACCATTAATTATTTTAAGTTTTGACATTTTGCACAAATCATTTTTATATTTTAATTTTGCATTAATTCTTATATTTTGGCAAAAAAAAACTCGTTGTGACATGTTTAAGCTAATAAAAAATGTTTAAGCTAATAGTTGATGTGCAAGATGAAACTAATTGATAAATTAAGGGCCAAAAGTATAATTTTTAAAACTTGAGAGAAATATAATTTTAAAAAATGTTTTTAAAACTTGAGAGCGCGGCGGCGCATGGCCCAGGTCAAAGCTATGCTCTGGCCCTGATCATAATCTAATTTTAATTTAAAATTTTAGGTATTTTAACATTTAAATAAGATTACACAACACTCGGGGTTATATTTGTATAAAAAAAATCAATCCAATTTAATTTCAAACAATACTCTTTTTAATATTTTTATTTGAAATAAAATACAAATATATTGATTCAGGTTTTGCCAATGACAACCCAACACAAGGTAGAATTAGCTTGAATTGTATAATCTAAGTTCAGCCTAATTTTAAAAGTTTAACTAATAGTCTTCAATAAGTGCATTCGACGGTCTCAAATAAACTCATTCAATTGCTACTAACATTCCTCTCAAAATTATTCTTATTGCATCATACCTTCAGGCATGAGTTATCGTTAGTATATTATTGGACTCAGACTAGATTGATACCTTAATCAACTAATAGATTCAGCATCCAAATTGTTAGAGTAGGCATTGGAAGTGGAGTTGATAATGGAGTCGAGCTATTCAAATTCGGCTTAGGCTCAACTCAGGTAGAAATCAACTCAAGTTGAGCTAGTGTATCGAATGAGTCGAATTTGAATAATTTTTTAAACGAATTGAGTTTGAAAAATTGGTCTAAAAAGTTTAACTCGAACTCACAAAACTCAACTCATTTATACGTAAAATAATCGAGTTACATGGGCTCTGCTCGTTTTGGGCTTAATTTATTTTATAAATAAATCAAATTTAAATAATTTATTAAATTCGTTTAAAAAAATGAGTTCGACAACCTTCACTTGTCTGTCAATCCTAATTAGAAGTTATTGGATTGTGAAAACTGGGACGTGTCTAATCTATTTTGCCCACGCAAGGCCCAATAAAAAGTTAAAAACTTAAAAGCGTGACATTTTCGACCTACCTTCAAGGCTTCGCCGTCGAATCCCAACTCCCAATACAAAAATGTTACAATAAGTCTGAAAAAACTCAACAAAGATCCAATTATCTGACATGAATCAGTAAAAAAAAAAAAAATTTGAATTTGATCTTAACGGATTCGAGTGATAAAATCGCCTAACCTACATAATAAATAAGTCGTGGTCAGGTGAAATAAACTCATTATCACCCGATTACTCTATTTAACAAATTGATATATCACTCAATTACTTATTTATCACTAAATTGCTCGTTTAATAGATAGCCTAATATGCTACAAAATTAAGATTTTTAATTAAAAATATTTTATTATGTAGAATTAGCAGGTAACACGGGTTATAATGTATAATCCATTAAATAAACAAATCGTGTTCAATTTTATAATTTATACCCTTTAACAAGCAAGTCATATAAGAGTTGACCCGACATGAATGGACGTGATCGGACAAAATTACCAAATCTATCTTGCCTTTGGGATTCATTACGTGCATAAATTTGCGACGTAGTTCCCCTTACCCCCAAATCAGGACCCACCTACATATGTATTCACCCTTGCGCCCAACACATGCCCAGTTCTTAGGTTGTGTAAAAACTGCATATGGGCCAACACTTACCCAACTACTTGGTCGACCAAGAAACCATTTTCTCCCGTCGATTAGAGTAGAGCCATGGATTTCATGGAAGTCCAATTCAGTTATATTTGCCCAAGATTTAACAGAGCTTCATGTGGGTCATTTCCTAAGCCTCAGCTTCATTTGAAAATGGTCACCTGTCCTTCTCGCTCGCTGCTCGCGCCATTTTGAAACATATCACTTTACAGCATTCAAACGACAAACCAGGCTGTGGAACAAGTGATTTGACAAATGGGTAATGGATTTAGTGAGTTGGGTCTTGTAATTTGAGAACATGCATCGTGTTCTCACTAATATTTGCTTGTTCTTTGTGTAGTCTAGAGCTGTACCCACTACTTCATCGGTATTAATTGGATGATTTTGGCTACCGAAAGCCCAGGAGATTGAATTTGAGATTGCGAGGTTAAGTCCTCTATTGGTTCTTTTCTCGTTTACATCATATTTTATTCACTGTATCTGTGTTTGCAAGTTTGCAAGTTTGCAAGTTTGCAAGTTTGCAAGTTTGCAAGTTTGCAAGTTTGCAAGTTTGCAAGTTATGTTTATGACAAAATGCCTCTTCCAAAAATGGAAGTTTATTCACTCACTCAAACTATATTCATACCTAAGCAGACGTAATATACGGNGCCTAATATGCTACAAAATTAAGATTTTTAATTAAAAATATTTTATTATGTAGAATTAGCAGGTAACACGGGTTATAATGTATAATCCATTAAATAAACAAATCGTGTTCAATTTTATAATTTATACCCTTTAACAAGCAAGTCATATAAGAGTTGACCCGACATGAATGGACGTGATCGGACAAAATTACCAAATCTATCTTGCCTTTGGGATTCATTACGTGCATAAATTTGCGACGTAGTTCCCCTTACCCCCAAATCAGGACCCACCTACATATGTATTCACCCTTGCGCCCAACACATGCCCAGTTCTTAGGTTGTGTAAAAACTGCATATGGGCCAACACTTACCCAACTACTTGGTCGACCAAGAAACCATTTTCTCCCGTCGATTAGAGTAGAGCCATGGATTTCATGGAAGTCCAATTCAGTTATATTTGCCCAAGATTTAACAGAGCTTCATGTGGGTCATTTCCAAAGCCTCAGCTTCATTTGAAAATGGTCACCTGTCCTTCTCGCTCGCTGCTCGCGCCATTTTGAAACATATCACTTTACAGCATTCAAACGACAAACCAGGCTGTGGAACAAGTGATTTGACAAATGGGTAATGGATTTAGTGAGTTGGGTCTTGTAATTTGAGAACATGCATCGTGTTCTCACTAATATTTGCTTGTTCTTTGTGTAGTCTAGAGCTGTACCCACTACTTCATCGGTATTAATTGGATGATTTTGGCTACCGAAAGCCCAGGAGATTGAATTTGAGATTGCGAGGTTAAGTCCTCTATTGGTTCTTTTCTCGTTTACATCATATTTTATTCACTGTATCTGTGTTTGAAGTTTGCAAGTTTGCAAGTTTGCAAGTTTGCAAGTTATGTTTATGACAAAATGCCTCTTCCAAAAAAGGAAGTTTATTCACTCACTCAAACTATATTCATACCTAAGCAGACGTAATATACGGGTTTTAAGTTCAGTTGAGCGGATCTCAATCTAAGTTCCAAATGCATTTGCAATTTCTGGAAGTGTGGGTGGAATTTGACTATGAAAATTGAAAATGTTTTTTGAAATCTGGAAGTCATCCTCGTTTTATAAAGTTATTTGTATGTCCAAGTTCAACAGTTCTTTTTGCTTTTGCTGTCAAAATCATGTAATCCTTCTGATTCCACCTCCACATTAAAAAAAAAAACAATTACAGTGAATTTCTAGGACAAGTGAAATATATAACTACTATATCAATTGGGTATACTTGTTGTAGAATGTGTTATATGAATCACAATGTGCAGATACTTATCCATGGGGTTCCAGACAAGTTATAGTCCTATAGTTTGCTTGTACTTTAGCAGGAAATTTTCCGTACTCTAGATTATAATCGCCTGTTTTTATCAATTAGGCATAGAGGGTCTACTGGCTTCCAGTTCAGAAAGGTGAAAGCAGGGAAACATTATGGTGTGATGAAGTGTATATCAAAATAGTTTACCAAAAGTTGCTTATCAAATAAATATGGATGGTTGGATGTGTGGGTTCTACTCAAAAAAGTTAATGGAACGCACTGATCGAACAGTTTACACTAATTTGATGACCAATATTAAACTTTTTTAGTAAGTGTAGTTGTGGACAGGGACCGAGCCAGGTTTTATTCTAAGGGGGTTCAAGTCTTATATACAGAAACTCGTTGGAGATATTTCCATCTATCAGATTCAAATTCTAATGCATAAGTTTCTCTAAAGAATATTCAAGCTAAACAAAAATAGTGACCAAAGAAAGGAAAAGAAAATGAACAACAAATTAGTTTTTAATGCATTTTCACTTGGTCATTTATCAATGTGATATTGTACATTCTTTTCTACCTACGAAACTCAATTATGATTGAATTAGTATTAAATTTTTTAGCAATTTCTTTTTTTTTTTGTATTTACACAATCAAAGTGTTGGTAAGAAAATTATCATTCATCCTAATGTGAAAACTTATTTCAAGAATGTTTACGGCCAAGAAAACACATTCTGCAATTGCAGTAGAAATAGAAAGTATAAGCACAAATTATCAATAAATGATAGATTGGTTGAATTTCTAGGTTTAATCAACCATTTTTTGTCTTCTTTGTTTGGTTCTTCCAACAAAGCATTTGGTGTAGCATTAAAATTTCCAATTTGGTATTATTATTCCTAGGCATGAAACACAGGTGGGTTTTTTTGCTCAAGTTCTCGGCTCTTATATGTAATTTTTGAATAGGTTAGGACTTATGAGATTGAATGGGTTAGATTACTTTTTGAATATTGGCAGAACAGAGAAGCTATTTTATGAACTTCTCGTGTATGCACGGTATAGTTTAATGAAAGAAACCCAACTTAGTATATTTCTTGACTTAAAATAATATTTTATTGATGTAGTTCGTCATTTGTAGATCACTCAAACACCATAGCTCCTGATATAAATGCTGCCCCATATAAATATATGGGGGCCAAACTATTGACACAAAAGAGTCCTTCTTTGTACTATAACATGTATATGTAGGGGTTCTATAAAACCCCCCTTTTGTTTTTTTTTTTTTTTTTTTTTTGGGGGGGGGGTCCCTGGAACTTGTCGATAATGATGATTTTCCTTCTTCTGGAATCTTGTCGCACATGTTCTTGTACGATGGATTCTTTCTGTCTTAGTTGTTTAAGCTGCAGACTTATTTCTATAGTAATTACTATTATTTATGTTTATTCTTTTTTCCCTTTACAGGTCTATTGCAGTCTGTGATCTATAGCCCACCTTGTGAGTCATTATGAGTGGCTGACTTCCTTCAAGGTTCTTGTAAAAACAGCAGTACATATCTTGACAGATTGTTTGGCGTACTAATATTGGCGCCGTGATGGGGTAGGGAGAATATGAATGGTGACATGCCCCTCTGGCAGTGATGTGTAGATATTGACGATAGAGCAACTTGAATATCAAAACAATACTTTGATACCTTAGTCGCCTTGTCTTCCAAATGCTGGTTTCAAAACTAGCAACATTGTTGAATAACTCTCTGACAGTCAATCCTGCAAAGCAAATCCATGCTCTAATACTCATTGCTGGTCTTAATCACCTTGAGCCACTATTGGTCCGTCAAATCCTCATCGCTGCAAACAATTACTGTCTGAGTATTACTCAGTATGTTCAATTAATCCTCCAACATATGCAAAATCCAGATGTTTTCTCAATGGCATGCACCATTAGGTTTTTCTCCCTACACGGCCAGTTTAGAGAGGCTTTTGCTTTATATGTACAAGTCCAGAGATTGGGACTCTGTCCGACTACATTTGCTGTATCCTCTGCTCTAAAGGCATGTGCCAGGATCGTGCATACGGTGGGTGGGATATCAGTTCATGCTCAAACTCAAAAATATGGTTTTCGTGGGGTTGTTTATGTGCAGACAGCTCTTGTGGATTTCTATTCAAAACTTGGTCATATGGAGACAGCACGTAAGGTCTTTGATGAGACAGTTGGAAAAAACGTGGTTTCATGGAATTCGCTATTAGCTGGTTATTTGAGATCTGGGGATTTAGCCATGGCTCAGAGTGTTTTTGATGAGATGCCGGAGAAAGATGTAATATCTTGGAACTCAATGGTTTCAGGGTATGGGAGGAAAGGGGATATGGATCAGGCTTACTGTTTGTTTCAGCAGATGCCAGAGAGAAATACAGCTTCCTGGAATGTGATGATTAGTGGGTATGTAGATTGTGGGAAGATAGAAATTGCGCGGGGCTTTTTTAAGTCAATGCCGCAAAGCAACAATGTTTCTTGTATTACAATGATTGCTGGGTATTCGAAATGCGGGGATATTGAGTCTGCTCGTGAGATCTTTGATCACGTGGGTGTGAAAGACCTACTCATGTATAATGCCATGATTGCTTGTTATTCACAAAATAGCCGAGCAAAGGAGGCAGTTCAGCTATTTGACGAAATGCTTCAACCAAATGTGAATATTCAGCCAGACAAAATGACATTGACTAGTGTTATTTCTGCTTGTTCCCAATTGGGAGATTTGAGATTGGGGTCTTGGATCGAGTCATACATTAATCAACTCGGAATTGGAATAGATGATCATTTGGCCACTGCAGTGATCGACTTGTATGTGAAGTCTGGAAGTATTGATAAGGCTTATGAGTTATTTTATGGCTTGCAAAAGAAGGATTTGGTTGCTTATACAGCAATGATTTTGGGATGTGGCATAAATGGTAGGGCAAATGATGCCATCAAGTTGTTTGAGCAAATGATTGATGCTGAGATTCGCCCAAATTTAGTTACCTTGACAGGGATATTAACTGCCTATAATCATGTCGGTTTGGTTGAAGAAGGGTATCACTGCTTTACCTCCATGAGGAAGCATGGACTTATCCCCAACGCCGATCATTACGGAATCATGGTTGATCTGTTAGGTAGGGCAGGACGGTTAGAAGAAGCACACGAGTTGATAAAGAGCATGCCAATGCAACCTCATGCTGGGGTTTGGGGAGCATTACTTCTTGCTTGCAGTTTACACAAAAATGTTGAGCTTGGTGAGATTGCAGCTGAACATTGCTTTGAGTTGGAGCCTGATACTGCTGGTTATCGTTCTCTTCTTTTCAATATTTATGCCTCTTCTGGGAAGTGGGATGATGCCAAGAGACTGAGAAAGGCTATTGAGGGGACGGGCATGACCAAGATACCAGGTTGTAGTTGGATGGAACATAGTTGACCAAAACTTAAATTTCAATTTTTGCAAGCTCAGAAGCCATAGACTTCAATGTTTGCTTGGTTGGGTCAAAGCTCTGTATGCCTTGTCTTCATGGAGGCAAGTGCTCTCCGTTTTATCTCACTTGCCTGAAAGAAATCAATGAGCTTTCTATGTTTGAGTTCATGTTGAATGCACTTTTGGTGCCTTCTGAGGAGCCAGTGAGTTCTCCATTTTCTAATTATTGTTTTCACTATATTTGAAAATTTTCCAGTTAGACCAGGTGAAGTTTAGTAACCACACTGGATCCTCTCTGACACTAATTATTGTACAGAAACTGTGCATAATACAATAGCCCATGTACTAAGCCTCTTATTCTCTGCTGCCAATCACAATGGAAAAGATTACAATATGTGATACTTGAATCAGCATTTCCTTAGTCTAAACTTAAGCACTTCTGTTGCAGCAATGTATTCAAGATTGTAACATTTGATATTCTGATTTCTCACCTGAATCATTTACAAATTTCTTCTTTAACTGTATATGTATGTATCAACTTGATGAAATTTCTAATTTTCCATGTCAAGTTTTATATAACATCTAATCCCATAATGTAGTTTCGATTGGTTATGGGAATGTTTAATTCCACGTAGTTGCTGTTTTGGGGTAACTTATTTTCAAGTTATTTACATGTTTCTTCTTCAACTGTAGATTATTTTGTCCAGTTCCAATGATAGATGGCAGGATGATATATGTGGGGAAGTAGCTTGCATCGTTTGGTATGTTAAATGACTGAATCTTTGGGCTAGATTGTTTTCGAGAAGCTAGAGGTTGCAGTACTGTGGCAAGTAGCACTAGCTGCCAATGCAATTCCTGACTTCCTGCCTTCCAAAAGAAACGGCTGAAGCTTTTTACAGGTTTAATCCATCATCTCTATTTGGAATTTTTTTTTGAAAAGACTATATATTACTCGCTTGACAATCCTATTTATGAGACAATCTATATGAAATCATTTTCCTCAATATACTTACCTCAATTAATCTTTTTATACATATGTATGTTTCTTTAATGAATACTATTGAATAAATAAGGTGGTCATTTAGCTATGATAAGCTCATTCCATTACCTCGCAAAAATACACTATAATACATCTTTACAAATCATCAGCATAAATAACTTCAAAAGAAGTGAACTTCTGAACCAGCAGACATGAAACATAGCCCCTAATTCTTTTTTCTCGTAGTGTATTGGTAGAAAACGCACTTATATGACTTAAGGAAAATTTACTGTATAGCTTGATAAGTTCATTTATTATTTTTGTCCAACTTGGAATTAATGTGAGTAAAAAAGGATACAAATTAAGTGTAGAGCTCCCGTATATATAGTCAATGAGAGTTACCATAAGGACAAAAAGGTAAAAAAGGAAAACTTAATAAGACCCTAATAAACTAGGCTGCTGCTATATCTCCAACAATCTCCAGCTATCTTTTCATTTACTGCTCTATNCTTAATAAACTAGGTTGCTGTTATATTTCCAACACTCCCCCTCAAGTTAGGCGCAAAAATGTCAACTAAGCCAAACTTGACAACGGAGTCCCAAAGAATAGACAGAGTGACCGGTTTGGTAAAAACATTCGCAACCTGATCACTGGTCCCCACAAACGATGGAGTGACAATACCACTGTCAACCTTCTCCCGAAGAAAGTGAACATCAATCTCTATATGCTTCGTCCTCTCATGTAGTACAGAGTCAGAAGCGAGCTGAATAACAAATTGATTATCACAATATAATGTGGAAGGAGAGGTCACTGAAAAACTCAACTCGCCAAGAATCGATCGTAGTCAGATAATCTCACACGTGCTAAGTGCCAGTGCCCGATACTCTACCTCTGCTGATGAGCGAGAGACAACTGCCTGTTTTTTGCTCTTCCAAGAGATAAGATGAGTCCCTCGAAAAGCACAGAAGCCCGTAGTAGATCGACCATCACATGCTCCCTCATAATTTGAATCTGAATAACAGGCTAGAGAACTGGTCTGAGATCTTGATACATAAAACAATCCAAGTCCAGGACAAGACTTGAGGTACCGAAGAATATGATAAACTGCATCAAGATGAGGCTGACATGACCTGTACATGAACTGACTAACTCGGCTGACTGCGAATGAAATGTCTGGCCTAGTATTGGCTAAGTAGATAAGTCTACCTACCAATTTTTGATAAACTTTCGGATCTTTCAACTCCTCACCTTCAGCAGTAAGTTTCATGTTTGGAATCATGGGTGATGATGCCGATTTGCACCCCAACATCCCAGTGTCTGGAAGAAGATCCAAAACATACTTTCTTTGAGAAAGAACAACACCCCTGCCGCTACGGGCAACCTCAATCCCAAGAAAGTATCGCAGAAATCCAAGGTCCTTCACATCGAAAGCCTTCCCAAGGTCTATCTTCACCTGCGCAGTCCCAGAAACATCATCACCAGTAATAATAATGTCATCAACATATACCAGAAGGATGACACACTGTCCAGAAGTATTCCGTCGAATAAAGCAGGTATGATCAGAATGACACCTGGTGAACCCTAATCGTACGACTACATCACTAAAGCGAGAGAATCAGGCTCGTGGCGACTGTTTCAATCCATAAAGAGACTTACGCAGTCAACATACCTTTCCAGCATACTCCCCCTCACCACGAAAGTCCGGTGGTGCATCCATATAAATAATCTCGTCCAGATTACCGTGAAGAAACGTATTCTTCACATCTAATTGATGAAGAGGCCAAGAGTACTCCGCAGCCAGAGAAATAATTAACCGAACAGTAGTCAATTTTGTCACGGGGGCAAATGTAACACCAAAATTATGACCTGGTACCTGAGTAAAACCCTTCGCCACAAGTTTAGCCTTGTGACGATCAATAGTACCATCCGCAAGAAACTTTAGGGTGTAAACCTAGCGACAGCCAATAGGCTTCACCCCTGAAGGTAAGGAGACAAGATCCCATGTATGATTATGCTGAAGAGCGTCCATCTCTGTTTGCATAGCAAGAACCCATTGGGGCTCCTACATAGCCTCCGAAATAGAGCAAGGAACCGGCGTATCTGATAAGGTCATAGTATAAGCTCGAAATGTGGGAGATAGATCACCATAAGAAACATAAGCAGAGATCGGATATAAAATCTTGACGGTCCAACCATAACGATCAACAGAACGACAATCACGCCGCGGATAACGACGCCTTAAATCATACTCCTCCACTGATAATGTCTCATCAGGTAAATGAACTGGCTCAGCACCTGCAATCTCATCAGTACTAACAATAGGTGCATCAATATGCTCAACAAACTGAGAAGTATTACCTGCATTGCCTGAGGTAGAGAGGACATCAGCAGGGTGATGAGAGCGAGGGCGACGAACATACACCTGCAAAAGAAAAGAGACTGACAACTCTGTACTGACAGAGATGAGTGGCTCTGAAGGAGGAGAAATAGATAACCCTGTAGGGATAATGACCAATGACTCTGACTCCTGTGGTAATGGAAAATCAAAAGGAGTATCATCAACTGGAGGGGCAGACATAGGACTGGGAGAAAAATAAGGAATATGCTCAAGAAAGGTAACATCTAGACTGTGATACATACGGCGGCTGATAGGATCATAACACTGATACCCCTTAGATTGATGACAATAGCCCACAAAGATACAACGAATCTTTTTATCATCAAGTTTATGACGAGTAGGAGACCGATCCTGAACAAAACATGTGCATCCAAAAACACGAGGGGGGACCGAAAAAAGTGTCCGCTCAGGAAATAAGACCTGTAAGGGAGCCTTATGCTGAAGAACATGACTCGGTGTACGATTGCACAAAAAGGTAAAAGTCAAAACAACAAAATGTCAATAAGATTTTGGTACCCTCATGCCTCTAAGTATACAACGTATCATCCCTATCAAATTCCTATTTTTCCTTTTAGTAACACCATTTTGCTCAGGAGTATATGGACAAGTGAGTTGCTGAAGAATACCCTGAGAAGAAAGGTGAAACACTAAGGCATCAGACACATATTCTTTGGCATTATCTGAACGAAGAGCACGAACAATGACATCGAATTGTGTCTTAATCATTTATAAAAATTGAGTAATTATAGGAAGTACATCAGATTTTTTATGCAAAAGATAGACCCAAGTACAACGGATATAGTCATCTATAAATGTCATATAATATCGGGCACCTGACAAAGCAGTAACGGGAGAGGGTCCCCAAATATCAGAGTGTATTAGGTGAAATGACTTAGGTGACTGGTGCATGCGAGGAATATAACTGGCCCTAACATGTTTTGATAGAGAACATATAACACAGTCAAGTTTACCACCAACACAAGCATTGCTCAAAGCAGGAAACAACATACATAAATATTTAAAATTTGTATGTCCAAAACGGTCATGCCACAACTGAACAGTTTGTGACGAAAAATCATAACGACAACTACTAGGTAAAACACTAGCATGTAAGTTAGGAACAGAAAAAGACAAAGCAGGTGCAGATGATGTAGGTGGAGGAATTGGTGAAACTGGAGGTGGATTGCCAAGATAATACAGTCCATCTTTCTCATGTCCCCTGATAATAATCCTCCTGATACTCAGGTCCTGCAAATAACACGAATCAAATAAGAAAACAACNCATGTCCCCTGATAATAATCCTCCTGGTACTCAGGTCCTGCAAATAACACGAATCAGATAAGAATACAACCGCACAGTGAAAATCTCTGGCTAACTGATGTACAGGTAATAGATTTATGGCCAACTTTGGCGCATAAAAAATCGAACGTAATGTAAGGCCATATGGGAGGCGGACTGTACCCCTACTAACAATAGGGACATGTGTCCTATCTGCTAACTGAACCTGTGTATGTAACTGCTCTTCAAAAGTGGTGAAGTGATGGGCCTCACCTGTCATGTGACCATTCGCACCCGAGTCCAACATCCAAAGGGGAGATGAACTGACACAAGCGTGAAAGGCACGATGTATACTTATAGTGGTGACAGCAGCAGTAATCAGACTTTGAGAAGTCAGAGCAGACATAAGTATATCTAATCGGAAAGTGATAGCATCCATATCATTCTGCCAAGGTGGAGCAGCAGTAGCAAGAGTAGCGGTAGTGGGTGGTGGTACCTCAGCAATAGCAACAGTACGGCTGCGAGGAGGCAGCTTAAGCTCTGGATGGAGCTTCCAGCAAGTAGCCCTGAGATGTCCTGGTCGGCCACAATAATCACATTGACGGGAATCNGTGGTGGTACCTCAGCAATAGCAACAGTACGGCTGCGAGGAGGCAGCTTAAGCTCTGGATGGAGCTTCCAGCAAGTAGCCCTGAGATGTCCTGATCGGCCACAATAATCACAGTGACGGGAATCCCCCTGTCTGCGCTGATCTGAGGCACCCTGACGAGAATCCC